GGTTCTCTCCGGGTTCTCCGGCTTCCTCCCACCGTCCAAAAACCTGCATGTTAGGTTGGTTGGACTCCAAACTGCCCTTAGTGCGAGTGTGTGTGGTTGTTGGTCCTTGTGTGTCTCTGTGTGTCCCTGTACCGGTTCTCATTAAATCAGCCTAACCTTCGCTTCCCAGAGTTTCTCTTTTTAAACCCAATTATCTTCCCAACCTGCGGACTAAAAGGGGCTTGAACAATTTACAAATCAATCAATTGCTTTCTTCTCAGAGTTCCAACTCCTCAGAACATACAAAAACAAACCGGTCGGACACCTGCACACATCCTAATTTTCAAACGTCAATTTCCTCTGAGCAGTATGGGCGTCATTAGAGGCTGGGATCAATCGGATCCCGCGTGGCCCCTCCAACAAACTCGATTCACCTCCGCTAACCGCTTTAACAAACCACCTCCGGCTCTCCGGTTGTTTAATCTGAGAATCACATCGCACCGTGTTCTCTGCTCAAAATCCTCCCAGAGGCGTTTTTCTGAATATCAGTATCGACTATATGACATTTTCGTGAGAATGCGAGAGTGTCCCTTAATAAATCTACGCCCGACCCATAGTGCGAATTATTATTCAGTTTTATAAACCCGGCCCCGCCTCAGGCCAAAGCCAGAGAGGGGGGGGGGCACAGCCACTCTGCTTTTTATGGCCATCTCTGACCTCCATTACATGCGCGGACGGCCAATTCACCAACTCACAAAAAAGTCGAGTTTTTTTGTGTGTTTCTGTGTGTCCTCTGCGCCGCTGTCCGTTTAACCCTTTAAAGCCCGATCCAAGAATAAAACAAAACAGAAAATTACTTTTTTTTGGTTTGAATTCCTTATTTGGCCTTTTAACAAATACGTAAAAAGAAAAAAACTAAATACATTTTTGTTATCAGGTGTATCTGATTGTGTATAATAGGATTTTGAGAAACATTTTTACCATTAAATTATGCAAAAGGTGTCAGAGGTAAAACATTTCAGAAACCGTATGTATCAAATATGATACATTTGGCATTATAGGGTTAAATAGCATAACACCGGGCTCCTTTTCTCCATAAAGAGAGGCTATTTAAAATCCACTGCAGGAGAAAGCCTCTCGTTTGCGTTTCTGCGTCTGAAGATATTGAAAAAAAAATGTAAAAAGCAGTTTTGATGTAATTACACAGCGGGGAGATTATTGGGAGTGAGGGCCGACATCATCCTGATGAAGAGCTGCTTTCAGGGCCATGGCTGCCGCTCATCTTAAAGGATAAAATCCTCGTCTCCTCCGCCTTTTTTGCATGTCACCGTTTCCCTCAAAACGCATTTAAAGCCTCAGCTTTCGGGCTCCCATTGAAGCCCCAGAGAATGAGCTCCCCGGGGATCAAACGTCAGGATTCCCGGGAGCCCGAAAGGCCTCAAACGTGCATCTTACAGTCAGTTCTGGGTCCCAAAAAGCAGCATTTTTGCTGCCTGTCCCCCCCCTCCCTGTCTCGGCTGAGCATAGCTAACAGGATCAGACCTACTGCTGAGACACAACAAGATATTTTCTTTGCCGGCGTCTTACTCTGACACAATTTCAACCGTTTTAGATGCTAGGAGGTACGAGCCATCACGCCCACTGCAAACAAACGGAGCATTTAGAGGGAGATGATGTCTGCGGGCGCGAGGGAGGGAGAACAAACAAGATATAAAGTCGTTTATGAAGGATTTTTGAAGGATTAAGCCGATTTTTCCATTCGACACACAACGGTAATGCTCGTGTTCATGTTTCCAGGCTGTTTTCGGGCATTAAGGTATCACCCACGCGTTCCGGGAGCGTATTCAGATGGATAATGTGCTCAGACTGGCACACAGAGGCATCTGTTTGCACGTCCCTGTGTGGACCCGTCATGGACATAACGCACGCTTCCTCTCTAACCCTATAATGCCAAACGTATCATATTTGATTCATACGGTTTCTGAAGTCTTTTGGATCTGAGACTTTTTGCATCATTCAGTGGTAAAAGCTTTGCTCAAACCCCTGTTGTACACATTCAGACAGATACACCTGATAACAGCCAGTAGAAGACTACACCAAAATATATTTTTGATTTATTGCACGCTAATTTGATCAAAATAATTTCTGTTTTTTTTCTTCATATGTTGTTGAGGGGCCAAAGAAAGACTTCACACTAAAAAAATCCAATATTCTTCCTATTTTCCTTGGATCGGGCTTTAAAGGGTTAAACTGAATGTCTCACTGGGCTTGAAAATCACCTATTTCTACCCCTAAACCGACAACTTACCCCTTTTATTTGGCAACCAGCACGTTCTCCACTTATCGGAATAAATGAAAAACCATTCAGATGTTTTTCTCACCACTATTGACATTCAAGATTTTATATAAATCATGATTTAGTTTTGCTCTGTCCAAAGAGAAACTATTTAATTACCAGTTAATATTCTATTCGTACGATTTGTTGGAAATTTCTAAATCTAAAACAGAACATAAAAGGCCCAAAAAATAGGAAAACGTGTTTGAAGCAGGCATGGTAACATGTTGGAGGAAGGCGTTAAATCGGAGGCAAATCTGCCACTTCACTGCGGTGAAAAACCCACTAAATCACCACAAACCGGAGATGGGCGGGGCGGGGCCGCTCGAGGAAAGCCGTTTACTGTCACCACAACCCCCCCACGAGGCCACAACCCCCCCACGAGGCTCCATCCAGTCCGTCTGAGGCCTGTGAAACTGAACCTGCCGACCAGGCCACGCCTGGATCCATCCATGTGTCTTTAAACGCACTAAACAGCAGATATTTGTTATTATGAAAAGAAAATTAGCACGAAAACTGCAGTTATCTTCTGGCACACAGCGGATTTTGTTGCTGTCTCCCAGGCATAAGCTGTTTTTAAAGCTGGCCAGGTGTCAGAGGTCAGAGGGCTGCTGGCTGGGAGTTTCTGGGACATTGAACGCATCGGGACTGCAAACAAACTCACTCATGAACTCCTTAAAATATGAAAATCATCCTTAACTGCTCAAACAGTGCATGTTACCAACTAATAATGCTGTTTAATTCAACTTACAGTACAGACCAAAAGTCTGGACACACCTTGAAGAACCTAGAATATAAGACATATTTTCAGTTTTTTCACACTTTTTTGTTAAGTATATAATTCCACACGTGTTAATTCATAGTTTTGATGCCTTCAGTGTGAATCTACAATTTTTATAGCCATGAATATAAAGAAAACTCTTTGAATGAGAAGGTGTGTCCAAACTTTTGGACTGTACTGTAAGTGATTAACACAAATCACCTTTTAAGTCAGTGTCATGTGTGTTTAATACTTTTTTTCCCCTGGTGATTTGACATAAAAACCCTGGGTTTCATTACACGATCCGGTCCGGATGCAGGTTTAAGTCATTCATGTGTCCTCGGTTGTTGACTAGTCTCTGTTAACTTTAACAGAGGGCTTTCTCGCCTCATTAAAGCTGAAAGTGAATCAACTTTTGAACGAGCTTGTTTTGCAAACGGAGCCATTGTTCTGTCTCTGTCCGCTGTGGAGGGGAAGCGCCCCTCCTGGGACTCTGGCTTTTACGGTGAGACAGTTTGACTCCTTTGCTCATGGGCCTTTCTAGAAACTTGTATTGTCTGGAGCCGTTTGTCAGGCCGACCAATCAGACGCTCGTAGCTGGCGTCGTGTCGGATTGTCTCCGGAATCCAGAGAAAATTCAGGATCCAGGGTTTCATATTTCTTATTTTTGGGGGAAAAATATGCTCCCCACATGAGCGAATCTGCTGACTCAGGCTTTTCACAGACATGACTCGCACACATGACTCAGTCCTCCTGGTTTCCCGGAGTCTTCCTCCCTTTACCTGCTGTTTTCCACGCCTCCCTCGATCCGAGTCGGGAGCCGGTTTTCCCTCTTTATCCTCCGTCTGAAGCCGACGTTCCCGTGCCGACGCGTGCCTGAGTGAGGGATTAGTCACTAACCGTGTGAATTGTTATGGCTGGTGAAAAAAGCTGCGCACATCTGGGTCCAGATGTTTCCCTTTACTTAAACCGCAGCCCGACACAGCCCCGGGAAAGAGGGAAACTTTGTTTCCCATGCTCTTAATTTGCGGTTCCTCTTCAATCTGCAACAGAGCCGGAGTGGGAATTGGGAGAGTTTGGTGCAGAATTTGACTTTCAAAGAAAAATTTGTGCAATGTGACCTAAAGTGTCACTTCAGGCCCTCCTCCTTTCACTTTGAATTATCCATTTTAAGAGCATTTGAGGGACTTTAGACATAATTTGAGACATTAAGAGTACAAAAAACGTAGAATAAAGTTGTTAAATCAGCATAAAAAGAGTCAAAACTAGACCCAAAGTGAAAAAAACATGAGTAATATTCACTAATTGGAATAAATTAAGCTATATTAGGCGCTTAATTGTCTGTATAATGAACAGCTTTGCATTCTTACTGGAGTTTATCCCAGAAGGGTTGTGTATTCCTGTATAAAAGCTGGAACGGGGGCCTTTCTGTCCCCACTCACGGCCTCTTTGCATCGACAGGGAGGCGCATTTCAAGAACTACACGCTCCTGCAGCTGGACGAGGAGTTCTCCCGGGGACGGGGGCTGGACGTCGGGGCTCGGGCCTGGAAGGGAGGCAACGTGCTGCTCTTCTTCTGCGACGTGGACATCTACTTCACCGCCGACTTCCTCAACACCTGCAGACTCAACACTCAGCCTGGTGAGAGGCTGCGCACACACACACATATACGTGTTTTCCTTCTATATAAGGACGTATGACGGAAATGAGACAAATGGGGACGTGCCTTTCCAAAGGTTCTACAGGTCTGAGAATCCCAGAGTTTCCTATCCATGCATTCAGGAAAGCAT